GCAACTATTCAATTATCGGTCTTTATAGAGATTGTAGGCAAAAATTAAAAAGAAGATATCCGAACAAAATGAAGTACTCGAACGTGGACCCAGAAGCCTTACCAACCAGTAAGGAAATCTAAAAGCTCCAGATGTGTCGGTGTTTCAGAACCGGGGGTCCTTAATCGACTAGTGAATTTATGCTGCGTGCTCCTAATTCCGGATGGTGATGCAAAGAGACACAAGGTTTATACTGGTTCGGGCAATGGATGCCCTACATCCAGTCTGAGAAGATGTTCTTGTATTCCTTGCACCGAGGTGCTCGTAGTAGGGGGTTACAAGCTAGGCGAGAGAGGGAGTTCGTCCCAAGTCTCTGTGAGGGGAGGTGATATGAATTACAGAATGTGGCGTGTTGTTCGTGCGAGTGTTCGTGACTCTATCCGCTGTCCCTAGAAACGGTCCTGGCCGCCTCCTTTTATAGCCACAGGGAGGAAACTAGGAGTACATAAGAGAGCTACACGTGGAGCGGACTATTCGATGACGTATTTACTCCTGGAGCAGCATGACGTTGTCGTGGGAGTTCCCGTAGATGTCTAATCGGTATGGTCTCCACTGTAAGTAACATGCTGTGCATTTGTTGACTTGGTGGATTGCAGAGGCTCGGCGGCCATCATAGCCGGTCGTGCCGAGGCCTGTTGTGCCGAGGCCTGTTGTGCCGAGGGCTCGCCGTGTTGAGGCCCGAGAAGTGACCTGTGCGAATGCGGGTCTCGCCGCCGTCGGCGGAATAGTGCGAGACGTGCGCCTCTGGGATACTGATACCAGATTGTCGATGAGGGATGGTAAAAAGGTGATCTCGACCGTTGTCCCATCGCTCTGCTTGCGCCGCACCGTCGATCGTGGCTTACGAAGCGTGAGGCCGAGCGCATTAATCGGATGTGACACCGCCGGAGAGACTTTTGAGGCGGAGGCGACGAGGTTGTGGGGACGAGCCCGCCTCGGGCGAGGCGGGCGCTGCCAATTCGTCCGAGGCCCTTCCGAGGGGGTCTCGGGCGAGGCGGGACGGGCGAGGTGGAGTAAGATCGGTGAATCCGAGAGGCCCTCGCCGAGGGGGCTCGGCGCGGCCGGAGCGGTCGGTCCGCTTATTCCGAGGCTACAGAACCCGCTCGACTCCCCACGCTATGGCGTCCTTGGTGCGGGAGTTAGGCAACACGGTGGTCGGTAACCCCCGCCTGCGCCGTCGCAGACAGCGGGAGGGTTGACGCGATCGGCGTGTAGTCTCGGTCACTTGACTGTGATCATCGCCATCGTCGCGCCTGTCCGGAGTGGTTGGGCGCTTGGATGCGACGTTCGGTCGAGCAGCTTTGGTCAAAGAGGTGGTCACGGGTCTGGTGCTTGAAAGCCGCCTCGCCATGAATCGGAGAATCAAGACTTCTTCCGAGGCCCCCGGCGAGGGGCCTCGGCGAGGCGGTCTCTCAAGTAGTCGGAGAATCGTTCGTCATGCTGGGGCTCGGCGATGGGGTCTCGGGCGAATCGGAGATTTCGGCCGAGACCTCGTTTGTTTATTCCGTTGTTCTGTTCTTAGGGTCTGAGCAGTTTTTCGATCTTTGCTTGGGGTACCCCATTTTCTGGTATCCGACAAGATGATTTTCAATATACTACATGCAACAATATGTTTCATCAGCCTTCGACCTAAGCAAAATGCACCAACAGTGAACCAGATCTTTCCTTACCTGTAACCACAGAGGTAATAATCAGGCCTACACCTGATAAAAAACCAGTTAAATACATCGTTAAATTTTAAAAAGGTCATGAAGAAGATTAAAGGAGAGCTAACGTACTCCCCAAACAAGGAAGGCAGATTCTGGACAACCTGCTCTTGATTTGGTTCTACTTCTCCATCAATAAAGATCGACACTCTCAACAAAGAGATATTTTTCCAGAGCTTAATAAGAAGGTGAATACCAATCAGGCTGCAAGTAGTATTATAATAAATTAGTTCGCTTTGAGAAGCATAGAACAAGGATAATAATCAATGGCACGCTGACATCACGGTAGAGGTAATATAAACAAACATACTATTGCACTTGACTCCTTTTAAATTCCAATGTTGTTCATGCTAACAAAAAAACATGCAGTCCAACAAGAAATAATATGATGGACTGGTTTCCTTAATATATACCTATTGTTGTTATCTTCAACATAAGAGAGGACATCTACAAGGCTGGAAGAAATAGAAATATGGACATGTGTCATAGAGAAACAGTAGCAAATGCAATTGCTCCTGCTTGCAGAAATTGAATTTCCCCTGCCTAAGTTTTTGCTCATGTCCACTTGTCTAATCTTTGTAATGCGAAATTCAGGGGAATTTCAGCAAACACTCCCATCTAGTACTACATAAGCTTCCCTCCCCTCTAAGATATCATATGCAACCATCTGTGGTTCAAAATTGAAAAGTACCTTAATTCTACTGGATTTCGACAGATATAGCCAAATCACGCCAAGTATTGCATTTAAGTTTGCAATCACGTGCACACTCTAGAAATTCAAAGAGATACATATGCTACGTAATAAGAAGCACATCATGTAATTCATCCAAATGATAACTCACGACTCAGAACAACTTCTCACCTGGCTAGTGTGCGCACGGACAGACGGGTTTCGAACGGACCATGTTGATCGTCATGGAAGTGCGGGTGCTGCAGTTACTGAAACCGTGTGGCAGGCTGAAACTACGGCGCTGGGGTGAGGGGTTCCAAGGACACCTCCTATGTGGCACCAGCACCACGAGCGAGAGGAACCGCTCCTTCCTGCAATGGAAAAAACAACAAACACCAATTATACATGCTGAGTAGATCATATGTTATTTAATACCAACATAATTGTCAGGTACTTGCATCGTGTTTGAGAGAGGATGAAGACAACCAGAGATGGTCCCTTGAGCACGTGCACAAGATTCTTTATTTGCTATTTTATAAGACAAGCAATATAAAAATGGTATGTGTTAGGCATTTCATCAAATGCAAAGACATAGGACCTTGAGTCATGGATGAACAAATAATTAAACAATTTATATATTCACAAATCGTAATGTGTAGAAAACATGGTCTGTTTCTATGGACGAATAATTAAACTATAGACACTATTGAGATGTCAGAACTAATTCAGTAGTCAGTACATAGTTTAGCCGGAGGTATGGGTATAAATCATTATGTCAATCATGATGAGAAAATTATTAGCAATTTTGCTATTATAAACTGAGCGAAAGGTGCATAGCAACAGTACCTGCTTGCCTCTGCTAGTAGATTTACCAAACTATCCAATTGCTTCTGTTGGATTCGCAAGGTAGTTCATCCCAAAACCCTCCATCACTACAGAGCAAATCAACAAAACCAAGACCAACAGTAGGGGTGGATCCAGTAAAAGGACATGGTGGACATATGCACACTTGATAACTTTTGTAGAAAATTGAATTTGGTAGACTTGATATTAGATCAGATCTGAGTACACCAAATAGCTTAGGTTAGGGTTTGGGTCCTCGGCTTCGCACAGAAGAGAGAGTAGGGAAGGGATGGGCGTACTTGTTGGATGCTCGTCACCGACGAAGGGTCTGGCGAAGACATGGCGAAGGGCCCGACGAAAACCTAGGCACCTAGCGTAGGGCTGCCGCGATGGTCTGCGGTCGTCACGAGAGAGAGTGCGCGCGGGCCCTGCGCCCTGGTGGCCGACGACGGGAGGCCTGTATTGCCGTGACGGAGGCAGGCGGCCTGGCGTCCTTGGCCAGCACCCTCGCCTGGTGGGCTGGTGCCTCGTCCGTGGGGGAGACATCGAGGAGGAGGAGTCGCGCGCGTGCGAGAGGAGGCGCCGAGGGAGTGGGGGAGTCGCGCGGGGTGGGACACGGCATCGGGGGCGAGGGGGAGGCAAAAAAAAATTCGCACAGACAGGCAGAGCGACGACGCGAAATTTTGTCGGTCTGGGAGGGCAGGACGACGAGGCGAAGTTAAATTGTCGCACCAAAAAGTGTCCACGCTTTATTCTTTTTAGTTGTAGGAGATATACTTTATTTAGCATTATAAACATTTACCTATATATTTGGTCAAACTTTAGACACTTTAACCGAGAGTACATCTAGAAATACACTCCCTCCATTCGAAAATTACGAGTGATTCCAACTTTTTTAGAGAGTGAAAACATCTCGAGTTTGATCAAAATTATAGAGAGAATTAAAATATATATATATAATCAAATAGCTATACTCTATAAACATAATTAATGAAGAATCTCTTAGTTGGTATCATAAATATTATTATTTTATTATATAAATTTAGTCAAATTTGAAATGCTTTGACTCTCAAAAAATTGAAATGACTTATAATTTGAAATGGAAGGGGTATCTTTTTTTGGACAGAGGTAGTGAAAGGTAGAGAAAAACTAGTATTACTTATTTACAAGGAGTGTTTGGCAAGGCTCCTTCTGATGGGCTCATCCGTGACTTCTTCAAAACGGCTCTGGCTCCTCTATTTTTCGCTAAAAACGATTACTCCAACAAAGCGTTTGACAAGCTCCTCCCGAGGATTTAGAGCCGGAGCCGAGAAGAAGCCCTGCCAAATATACCCAAAATTAACCATCAAGCAAAGGCCAGTAACCATAGGAACTAGCGAGCTTCCCAACGACTTCCCGGTCTACGTGCGCCGAGCGAAATCAGCGAGACAGCAGCGACCCTAGCGTTGGGCAGCAGCGTGGCGCTGTGGCGCGCGAGCGCCGCAGGCGCGGCCGCGCGGGCGTCGAAAGTCGAAACGTGCGGCTGGTGCAGGAATCGTACCACAGTACACAGAGGTCTGAATCAATCAACAATCAGCACGTTTTATTTTCAGATTCCCTCTGATTTTGGATTTCCGAAGCATCGACTAATGGATGTTTATGTACATGCCTTCGTTGATAGAACAACTGCCTTTTGGGCATTTCATCGAGCACTTGAAGGGCACAGAACACAAAGAGGAAAGGAAACAGCAGATGGGGACCTCATGGCGCTCAGAGATGGAGGAGAAGCCATTGAAACACACCACCGTCCCATCTATGCTAGGAGATTGAAGTGCGAGAGAGAAGAAATGGCAGTTTACCTCGCCGTGAACGCCAGATCGGAGTTCCGGTGTCATCCACGCTCAGTACCGGGTGCTCGCTCGGGCGGCCTTCCTTGCGCCGGCTGGGAGACCCGCGCCCGCACAGGTGGCCTGGTGCTAGGCGCGACGGCGGCTCAGTACCGGGTCAGACGTTCTGGTGGACAGTGCGAGGAGCGGCCCTGGGGCGAACACGATGGAGAGCGGAGGCAATGCGGGAGGCGACAAAGGACGGAGCGTCGGCGGAGGAAGCGCAGCGCAGCGCCGGGCGTGCGTGCGGCCGGAGCGGCCCTGTTTTTCACATTCCGTGACAGCGCTGGGGTAGATGAGGCTGGAACTTCGCGGAAGGTTCCATGGCGGCAGTGCTCTGGTGGACGTTGATTGCGAATACGAGGGACAGGAAAAGGAGGCGACGTGGCCTCTCCAGGAAAAAAAAAGGTGTACAATAATAAGGGTAATGGTAGATTTAACGGACATTTCACAACAACTTTGTAATAATAACCGGCGCTCCTAAAATTTCTGTCACATCGAATATTTAGACACATGCATAGAGTATTAAATATAGACTAATTACGAAACTAATTCCACAACTTACGACTAATTTGCGAGACGAATCTTTTAAGCCTTATTAGTCGGTGCTATAATAAACATGTGCTAATGACAGATTAATTATGCTTAAAAAATTATCTCGCAAATTAACCTTCATCTATATAATTGGTTTTGTAATTAATCTATATTTAATGTTTTTTATTAATATCTAAATATTCGATGTGACTTGAATTTTAATAGCGACTAGAAACCAAACACCCCCGGATTTGTGTTTTCTACGTACCAGTGCCTTTTAATGGAGAGATGGGCCTAAATTCGTGGGGCCGTGGGCTAGGCTCACATCACTGGTCGTCCCAAGGCCCCCATAAACCCAGACTAGCCAAACCCGTCCTCTCAAAAAAAAAAAAGCCTAATCCGAGAATCCCACAGTGGGCCCCTGTTGACAGCCCCACGTACTGCCCCTCCTTCCTATGCCCGCCTCCCCAAGCAAAGGGAGACGAAAGCTGAAACGGCGTCGCGGCTCCCCGGGGTCCACACACAGGCGGTGGTGTGGTGCCCATGGCTTCGTGGCTGTTGCTCCCTCTCCCCTCCTTCCCGTGGCCTCCCCCGCCCCCGCCCGGCTCCTCCTCCGGCCGCGGCGGCGGTGGCGGTGGCGGCGGAGACGGCGGCGATTGGAGGCCGAACGTCGTCGCGGCCTTCGCCGGCGCGCAACTCGGCCGCTCCCTCCGCCGCCGCTTCGCCGGTCTCCTCCGCTCACCGGTACTGTGCCTCGCCTCACCTCGCCTTCCATTTCGTTCTCACTTGGGATGCAGACCATGGTATCGTTTACTTTAGTCTGTTCCCAACCAAACAGGCCTTCTTAGTCTGTTGTTGACTGAGCCCTCTAGCGCCTTGTTGATTGGATGGAGATTTTTTTCGTGCTTGATAAAAAAAGAAGTTAATGTCAAGTGAACCTTGCAACTCTAGGAGGTGCGGCATCTTGATGCCTTGCCGAAAATGGGTGACTTCTGGTTCGAAGGATCAGAACCGTTTGCAACATTCCCAATTCTTGGCGCGATAGGGAATGTGCTCTCTGCACCTTATGTTTGCAGCTCTGCTCTGTTCAGTTGGAACGGGTCAGGGGGTAGATACATCAGTAACGGAAAGTTGTTGTCCAGACGGCCTCGTGGGATCGATTCGAAGAAGAGGCTCTGGACTAATGTCCTTCTTGTTCTTAATGTCCTGTAAGTCAGTGGTCAGTTTAAGTTTCTGCGATAGTAGCTCCTTTCCTTTGGTACATTTGTTGTTTAACACCCTTTTGCTCTCAACAAAGGGCTTATGTCGCTCAGGTAGCATCACAAGGAAAGCTTCTTATGTGGGAGCCAAGGTTTGTGTCTTGGTTGGAATTTCTAGTTCAGTTACCTGCTGTCAATTTCGTTAACCTAATGCAGTTATGACCATCATTTGCGATGAAAGATCAACAGTCTGATTGATAGAGGGCAATTTTGGCGTTTGGCAACATCATCTCTACTTCATGCAGATCTCACCCACCTTGCAGTATGTTTTTATGTTTGAAATGAGTTTTATATTTCATAGAAAAAATATTAGCTAACTTCCTACCTGTTGTCTGTTGCCATAATGATGCAGTTCAATTGTTTCTCTTTGAACTCTATTGGGCCCATGGTTGAAATGTTAACTGGTCCTAGAAGATTTCTAGCTGTTTATTTCAGTTCGGCGCTGGCAGGTGTTTGTTCTTAACCTCTTTTGGATTGGATGGTAGTGCCCTGATCTTAAGTTATCACTGTTCTTAATCAATTCTTGGACTTCAATAGGTTCACTGATGAGCTATCGCTGTAGCGTGTCACCTGCTGTTGGTGCGTCAGGTGCCATTTTTGGATTGGTATGTCTACTTCTCCTCGCACTTGTGCCCGTTACCCAGTGCCAGAATCATGTTACCCCTATAGTGTGGTATAATTCACTAGCAACATGAAACTACAAACTACTCCATCCGTTCCAAATTATAGTTCACTTTAGATTTGTCATAAGTCAAACGTATCTAACTTTGACCAAGTTTATAGAAAAATACATCAACATCTACAATATCAAATTAGTTTCATTAATTTCTCCATGAAACATGTCTTCATAGTGCACTTATTTGAACTTATAGATGTTAATTAACATATTTTTTTCTGAAAAAATGGTGAAAGTTAGCTAAGTTTGACATAGGAGTTAGGACAAAGCTTAAGTGAACTACAACTTGGAACGGAGGGTGTAATTCGTAACTTCTAAATGGCTGGTATGATATTTCTTTGTAACTCCTCAAAATTGCACATCTTGACTGAACAGGCCTGAAACATGATTGATTTTGTAGTTTCTGTTTGTGCATTTCTGAGTTTTCTTTCTTATGTTTACCACATTCATATTTTGTGAACAAAGCCTTGGTCTTGTCCTATTGAAATATGAATTCCCTGTCCCTGATACAACTGACCATGAAAGTGTTTACATCAACTTAATCTGCATGATCAGGTTGGCGCACATGCAGTTTATATGTGGAGACATAGAAGATTCTTTGGGAATTCTAGGGAGAGTTTAGAACATATTGGGCGTGTGGTTGTCCTGAATATGGTATTGCTCCACTTTTTCCTGTTTATTTCATTTCGCCTTTGTTTCAAAAATATTCTTTGTTCCATCTGCAACATTTTTTTTTTCATAGGGTATGGGCCTCCTCTCAAGGGGAATCGATAACTGGGGCCATGTAAGTCTCTCGATTTTCTACGCAGTACATTTTACAATATGAATGATCTAGCTCATTAGTTCACTTGAATACTGACAGCTGGGAGGCTTGCTTGGCGGAGTTGCCATGGCATGGTTCCTAGGTCCGGCATGGCAATATCAGTATGTGGCAAAGGATGGTAGAGCGGTTTTCAAAGACAGGGCTCCAGTTCTCCGACTAATAAAGGGGTAGACTTGTGTTGTTTTGTATGTACTTACGAGGGTATTCGTGAAAATAGTGTGGAAGAGAAGCAAAAGGGAGAATGGTGAAGATTCAGACATACGCCGAGCAAGGGAGTGGCAAAAAACAATTGACTTTTAACTAGTTTGGGACTTTGGGTGTCGAAACATTTCACTGCAGAGCTAATTTCTGAGGAAACACACACGAGGAGCTTATTGTTTTGTTCGGATCGTGGCAATTGTTAAATCTTCAAAGCTGAGACGGGTTGGGGCCTGTCAATTGTATTTTGTACTAACCATAAGGATCTACTGTCAAGTTCTGACCTCGGACATTGACTGTTACTAGGTTTCTTCTGGTCCTGTATTGCACGAGATGATAAAATATGTAAAGAGTGTACTCAGCGAACAACGATCCATAAGTGATTAAGATATTTGTTGTAAGAGCATATATATATATATATATATATATATATATATATAGATTTTAGGACCAGTGCAAAATACTCAGCTTGGAAGAATTCATAGGGCGTATCATCATGTACGTCAATTCACAAAGCACAAGGTAATGTGTCACTGTAAGCATCATTGAATCAACGCCAGGGATAAACTTCCGAATTTCCGATGGAACCATAACACTTCTTCTCTTAGCTTCATGTCTATCTAGACAACAAAGAGGCTAAATCAGCGTTGATTAAACGCTCGACGCACAATAGAACAAACGAAATCTTGCATGGAAATTGTATGTCGTATTATGGATTTATGGTCAATACGTTACAAGAAAGTAATATTGCAGAACGTGGACCCGAGTAAGGTCCTTGCATTCTCCTCTATATAAGCTCCCAACCCTTCGGTGAGAACTTAAAATTGATAGAGGCATAGGGCGTAGGGCAGCCACCTTCGTGGCGTAATACCCTGGTTAATTAGCATGATATAGACCTATATCTACAGTTAACCTGACCTCAAAAGCTTTAGAATTCATCATAAAGTTACAGTCAATAAACAAAGCCTGATGTTTGCATCATAGCCCATGATTGCGATTCATGGTTATGCTTGAAGCAAAATTGTGACCTTGTCTTCTGGCCAGATTTTCCTGATGACGCATGACCAACAGTCGAAGCAACCCAGGTATCCAATCAAGCATAACTTCAAGTGTGAAGGAGACCTGCATATTGAGATACAAATAAGATAAACTTCTCAAGAAACCACATAAGGATTGTGGACTCAAAGCAAGCTGAAGATTCATATATATACGAGAAAAAGAAATGTGAATCCAACTAGCACTAGGATATGTTTTGAAACATTGAGTTATACAAATGTAAGGTCACATTGACAAAGGCAAGTGGAGTAAAATAAACTAAATGTCTAACTGTGGTTGCAGATCGATCCCCATGTTAGTAGTGACAGAAACTAAATGTCTAAATAATATTAATGCTAAATAAATTGTTGTGATCATTAATATTCTAAAGCAACTATCTATGGCCTTCGCCACCGAATAAGAGTTCTAACATTAAGAAAACGGCAAAATGCTATAGAGATAAAATATCAAGAAAACTTACCATATGGCGATGGCGCAATTGAAGAGGACTTCGATGTTCTGCTATTCCGTTTTTTCCTTGGAGGCGTCGAATGTTGAGACACTGGTCGTGGGGGTGAAGGTGTTGGCATCATTTGAGAAGTAGGTCCAGAGACTGCCTTTGGAAAATGATTGGAATTAGGTAAGGGGCGAGGAGGATCTATGTGAGCAGGCGGTGGATCTGCTGGATGAAGGTATTTTGGCGGGGAAGGCATTAATGGAGGTAGCCTGGGGTCGCTAACAATGCAAGGAGGTTTTAGCATTGAACTACCAGCATGAGAGGGATTAATACACCTAAAACATGGAAAGCACGGGTGTCTGCGCCATGAAGGAGCTAAAGCTGGACGAGGTGCAGGGTAAGGGATGCTCCCAAATGGTGACAACAATGGTGGCATGCTTGGAGAAAGTGATTGTGAAGGCGATGGAGCCGGAGCCGGAGATGGGCTAGGAGATAAATCAGAGATTTTGTGTTGTAAGTACGATGACAGCTGAACACCCTTTACTTTACCAAATACAGAGTGATTAAGCCCAAGATTCCTCGCATCAGGTTCTCTGATTAACTGAGCTAGTTGTCTCAATCTATCTGGTAAAAGATTACTGCTTCCATCTAATACCGATGCCACAATAGTTGCTGGAGCTTCAACTGAAGAACCAATCTCATTCCTGAACTGCAAATATATTTTCTGCAACTATGACAATCAGTGAGAATCAAATTGGAGCAACTGAGCCCTTTAAATATGCCACAACCTCAGTAGAAGAAACAAAACCATTAATACCTCGTATGACCTTAAATTTAATCCAAGTTTCAGCTGATCCTTGAGCTCTGTAAGATTACCCAAAATCTGATAAATGGAGCTGTTCAACACAAAGTTGAATAGGGGGTCTGTGTTCGCCCATGTAAAACCAGACTGTGCAGGAATGACTGTAATTCCTCCAGGGAATCTCAACAGCTCGAAAGAAGATGGATGCCCAAAAAGTGATGGTGTCAAGGACAGGTTCACCTGCTGGAGCATCATCTCTATTAAGGATGATCTCAGCACACTTAGAGCCGGCAAACTTATTGAAGCATCTTTTGGATAAGGAAGAACACCAAAAACAACATGTGTGGAGTATTTAGAAGTTAAATGGTGCATTGAAACAATGGAAACCTGCAAAAAACATATTCTAATCAGCAAACACTGCAGTCAAAAGAAATTTGAGGAGAAAAAAAAGAGAGAACAGGCATCAGGCACCTTGCTATTAGGTACACCAATCTCTTCAAATATGTCATTCCCTAGTTTGTCTATGTGAGAAGTAAGGAATGACACTGGCTTTTCCAAAGTGAAACCAACTTTGATTTCAGCTGAAACAAAGGAGATGATCTTTATCAACAGACATCACAATGCCTCATCAACATGTGACTGTAAGTGTGAAAAAGGGCAATACCCTAAAAGTACAAAAACATATAATAGCATTTTTTAAAACAAAAAAAAAACAAGAGCACACACAGGTTCTAGGGAAAATTTTGCGAAGTCAGAAAAGATAAATGAAACGAAATGAAATGTTTGATTACATTATCTACTGAAACAGTGAAGTAGAAGGTAAATAAACATCTCAGCAACAAACAGGATGAATCCTCCATGAATAAAATAATGAGCTTCCTATGAAAATTAACTGTTGGTTTCTGCTGATGGGAACATAAATAGGATATAAAGAAATTCACTTAATTATAGTAACAGTGCCAGCAAACAGAAAGGACTGGATCAGTAGTTCAAACAATTACTAGTAGTAAGAATGTAAGATGCACAGGTTCAAGATTGAAGGAGGGACTTCCCTCATGCCTCAGCACCCAGTAGGAATAGAAAAACGTAAACAGTGGGGGCAGTGAACAAGGGATTGTCGGGGTCCAGTATCCAAAAATTGTAAACACATATTAAAGATACTATATATCAACAATTCAACAAAGAACATTAAAATACATTCTAATCATGGTTTCAAAGGCAACTAGGTGTCCAGGCGAGTGCTGGGTCTGCCTGGACGCCTAGGTGACAAGGCGTCATTGTTCTCCAAGGCGAGGGGCCTGGATGCCTAGGCGACACCTTTGAATCAGGGATTCTAATATTAGATTTGGCTGGAAATATTTGGAATACTTTTATCCTATCACCTAAAATCTCCAGAATTTAGAGGGTCGGCGTGCTTAATATCTTATGTTTCTTGAATCTAGTGATAAAGGTTTGAGAATTGAAACTGAGGTCGTAAGCCTCCCTCTCTCCTAACCATGTATGCCATCACAACGTTGAGCTGAAGCAGACATGTTTGTCAATATCCATTCACCATAGATATACAACATCTACATCTAAACACATCACAACATTTGGGATCTAGTTTTGAACAAAGTAAATTAAAATCTGGATCTTACAAAGTACCAGTACAATCCCAGACTCCTGTTATACTCCCTCCAGTCCAAAATACTGTCACATTTGACTTTGCATGGCCTATGATGTGTATCTTTGATCACTAATTTCTTCTAGAATATATTCTTAAAATACTTATTAAGGGATTTTGCAAGTATTTTGTATACAAATCTACACATATAACTTAGATGTTTCCAAACTAAATAATGTGATATGGTTTAGTTTGACCAAATCTTGTCCTAAATGACATGATTTCATGACTGGAGGGAGTACCAAAAAATCACACATCTAAGAGGACAAACAGTACCCTCAAAATCTATACACTGCAGCACCAGAAAACAGATGAAAAAGCATATGTTACATGTTAACATACATAGACAAGAAGAAGGTCTTCATATGTACCAAGTTGATCCAGCCATCCAGGTCTAGCATCTTCAGAGACATTGGGTGAGAGAATTTCTGGAATTTTGGGATCTAGTTCAAAATTATACGGATTCTAAAAGCCAACTTCCACCCGAAAAGGTAGTTCAATGCCATTTCAGGGCCCCCACATCAATTTGGAATTAAACTTGCAAGTGGTAAGCAGGTGATCCAAAGCCAACAATATAATTCAGAACTTTAAAACTACAATATGGTGAGCACATAACTAACTAGACACACTCCCTGACAGTCGCACCCGGAGCATGAAACGACGAAATTGACTAGGAAATCATGCGAATCCTAGCTCAACGGAGGTGGAATCGAAGAATCCTGCACCCATGCTGCGATCTCGAAGCGGTAATTTGCCAATCGACCCTATCGATCCGCCTCCCCACCACATCTAAAACGGAAATCACAACTTCCGAGCTGCCCCCAACTAAACCCACGAATCCCCAAACCCTCGCACCAACGGCTATCGCAACACAAGTCGCAAGGGCCCGAGAAATTACCAGCGAGCACGTCGTGGTCGTCCGAGAGGTACCCCAGCTCCTGGCGCGAGGGCACGAGCAGGAATAGGGCCGGGACGAGCACCCCCGCCGCGAGCACGAGCACGAAGACGCACCGGAACGAAACCGCCCGCCCGATCGCGCCGAAGACTCGCCCGCCCCATGGGCCTCCGCCTCCGCCTCCGCCGCCGGCGATCTCGAGGCCTCCCGCGCCACCGCCGAGCTCCACATCGACGGGCTTCCCCATTCCGAGCGCATCTGATTTGCTCGCTAACCCCAACGCTCCCCAAGTCCTCCTCCTCCTCCTCCTCCTCCTCCTCCTCCTCACCACCACCACCGCCGCCGTGCCCGTCACAGACGGACCCGCGCCTGCGCCTACGATCTAGTGAGTTGCGCCGGCGCCGGTGCCCGGGTCCCTCGCTTCAGCTTCCGCTTCCGCTTCCGGCCGGTGCGACTGACCAATAACTGTCGGTTTGGGTTGGAGACGGACGCTCCTCGCGTTTTGGTTTGAGACTTTTATGTGCCATTATAAAAGGTTGAAATTCCTGCGTGCCCCTGGAAAAATTCAGCGGTCTTCAGCGTTATTACTCTAACTTTTTCGGGTCTTCTATGCCACTTCCGTCAGTGCAGGCTCTAACGTCGTCAAACTGTAGGTGTGAAAAGACGAAAATGCCCTTAAATTCAAATATATTATTAATTTTTTTTAGTATCTTAACAACTTCAAATGAAAAAACTCAAAACTAAAAAGTTGTAGATCTCGTTGAGATCTATAATTTTCATATAAAATTTATTTTTATTTAATTTCTCAAAAAAATTATGATTTGATATGATTAATATATCTTAGAAAAATCATTATATTTTTTTGCGGAATTAAATAAAAATAAATTTTATATGAAAATTATAGATCTCGACGAGATCTACAACTTTCTAGTTTTGATTTTTTTCATTTGAAGTCGTTAAGATGCTCAAAAAATTAATAACATATTTGAACTTAAGGGCATTTTCGTCTTTTCACACCTGCAGTTTGACGGCGTTAGAGCCTGAACTGACGGAAGTGGCATGGAGGACCCGAAAAAGTTAAAGTAGTGGAGTTGAAGACCGCTGAATTTTTTCAGAGGCACACAGAGAATTTCGATCTTTTATAATGGCACAAAGGGAAAAAGTCTCTTTTGGTTTTCCTTTTCTTTTCCTGCGACGCTACTCGACCGACGTGGGCTCTCGCTGTCAGTCTCGGCAAAATAAGCCGTGGGCTCTCGCTGTCAGTCTCGGCTAAATATGCGGGAGAATTTCGCATTTCCCCCTCTTGGCGTCTTTTCGCTTGCTTAGTGCGTAATCCAGGCGGCATTATACCGAAAAAAATATTCGTGCTCGTCTCGTTCAGGCGTCGGGCTCAGGGAGCCTTTTCTTCTTTCCATTCCAAATTGCGAGTTCCAACTTGCCACGAGGGAAAATCCCACCGCTCCTCGCCAACGCGGCGCGCATGTGCTGACAGGTGGCTCGCCAGGGCACCTGCCAAATTTTTTCTTTTCGTTTCCATTAAAAAAATGGTCCCTTGTCAACTGGGAGGGCTCGTGCACACTTGCACAACGCCGGTTGGTGCACCTAGCTTGAGAGTTGAGCCCGGCTTTTCTTAGTCAGGACCGAGTCTAGGTCGGTCTCAACCAGAGTTTTATCTTATTACTTTTAAGACTCCTATGTGTTAAAAATATTATAGATAAGTTTCATCTTCATAAAACTTATTTTCATCACATAAAAGTTTTTATTAAAAACTTATTTAGGAGTACTCATGAAACTCCCAGGAAACTGGCTTTAGATTTGGCCTTTTGAGTTGTTTTTTCTTGCTATGGCTGCTAGTTAGTGGATTCATACAAGATTTGTCATCTTGGTTAGGTGGACTGATAATTTTGTAGTTCCAGTCTATTAGTTGGAGAATGTATAACTTATTGTGTGGTCGCCTGGATTGTTTACGGTTTATAGATTTATATTAACAATTGTGTAATCCAATTCATTGAAGAATTGGACTCCATACCGTCACTATACGCATTCACAGGAGCACAGGTCGTAAGTACTAGTCATGTATTGCATAGGAAGGGGTGCAAGGGTATTGTGGAAAGTAAAAATAGAAGGTTGAAAGAATACCTTTTTTCTCTTTAATATTAGGGATGTATTACGAAATATGTTTTTCATAAGAAACCTATTTTGAGATATAGATGTTGATACTATATTTTATAAACCTGCTATTGATTGCATCATTGAAAAGCCAATAGAAATATTTCTAAAAACAACCTAGACTTGGCATAGACCTACAACTAAGGGTAGTTTGGATATTAGATGCCAATTGTTATATAGCTGCTAAAAATAGCCCTAAGAGGGCTAACATTGGGCTAAAAATTAGCCAAGCTCTTGGCTAGTTGTTAGCTTATTAACTAAGCATAAGTCACCAACAAGTGTTGATAGTTCATTGCTATGGATGTATGCACATAGGGTCTTTTTGTTGCATGAACAACACCTTATGCAAACCTAAGTAGTGCAGTGGATCCTTGTTTGGTTACTTGCACAGGCCCATATGTAAGCTAGCACTATCCTCAAAGCAAGCTTAGCTTGCATCCCACAATTCGGCCAAATTATGTGTATCCAACTATTCACCCTTCCTCCTCTTCCTTGCAGCCCAAGATACATTCTAGCCCTTTACACACGAAAACCAATCACACGCATAACACTGTACAACTTCCTATCTAAGCCGAATAACAACAAATTGTATTACCTTGTCTATTTTAAGAGTATGCTTTATAGCCTTAATTAATACAATGCATACTAATGCAAGTAACCAAATCATACCATATTAGCTAGGGATCCAAATATGTATTGGTTAATAATTAGTTGGATAATATTTAGCTCCAACTAAAGGTTAGCCTTTGGCATGCACTGTTTGGATCTGCTAGCAGCTAATAGTTAGTTGGCTAATAGTTCACAACTAACATTAACTAGCTAACTATTATATGGATGTTGTTTGGATCCACTAGCTAAAAACTAGATGCGTAGATGGTTATGTCTCTAATGCCATTCCTTTTCGGTTTGCTATTGGGAAGACACGTGGATAGAGGTCGGCGGGAGAACAAATGTGTCTTCTTGCAATGTACTCTAACCGGGACAGATGGAGTATTAGCTAGTTGGGATAACCAATGAGATATTATTCCGTACATTCTAAATTATAAGTCATTTTGTCTTTTTTAAGATACATAGCTATCTTGGCATACCGTGTATCTAGATGTATAACAAAAACTGTGCACTTAGAAAAGCCAAAACGACTTATAATTTGGAATGTATGGAGTACTAATTATCATCTAGATGCTTAATAACAATTAGTTGAACTATTAATTAGTCCGGTTGAATTCAAACCGCTAATTTTTACTCCTATTAGTAGGGATGACAACGGGTCGGGCAAGGTGAAGGTGGAGGAAAAACCCACCCTCAACGACGCCCATGATATTTGGCTGCACCCGCCCTCAAAATGATGCCCACGAGTGCAATGCCACACCCCGCACCTGCGAGTCTTGGATCACCCGCGAGTGTGTTAATAAGAAGATATAAAAAATATAAATTTTGAGACAAAATAACACATAATTAAAATTATCAGTGTACTGTAGGGACCCCATGGTTTTTGTTGTAAAAAATGAATCCACAACAACTTAAATCTAGTCTAGTACATACTATGTAGACAACACAGTCCATACAAATCATCCTAAGTTTACGTAGACTTAGAGTCAAACATTAGTTCTAGATCTCTAATTGGAGTGGGAAATAGGAAAACATATGTTTCGGGCCTCGTAGGTGAAACCTGCACCCGTACCCGCACCCGACCTATTAGGGCAGTCACAACCTAGAAACTATGAGATATTTTCTGTACTTACCAAGTCATGTAGACATTACACGTAGAAACTTTATTTCTAGTAGATGATTTCTTTAAAATAATTTTTGTCCAACCATATATCTTCTCTTTCCTCTCATTTATCTATCACATCTCTTGATATCTTGATTATAGACATAGCTTTTGGTCTTATATGAGACTGTGCTTAGCTAGTGGATCCAACAGGCCCTTAGTCAATCCATCTTGAGGGCACAAATAATGTATACAGGTGAAAGTAGTCTATATAGGTACGTCCCACGTAATGGTCCTTATTAGTTGTTCATGTACCCCTACAATGTTACGGTCCAGATGAACTTTACAAGTGAGCTAGCTAAAAATAAAAGAAGCAACTCAGCCATTCTTCTCTCTTCCCCCGATGCCTCCCTTCTTTTTCCACGTCTGGCGTGCATACAATGCAGTCGTCCCCATCTCTTGTGTCTTGTGTGTCTACACCTCTCTCCATAGCTCCACCCAATCGAGTCTCAAGACCTTGGACTGACTTCTTTCCTTGCCAAATCGACCTCTACTGGATTGAGATCCTCCAGCGACAAGGACCTCCGAGGAGACATCTTCCAACGACAGTCACCTCCGACAAGAGGGCGAAGGATGGGAAGAGGTGCCTCGTTCCAGCACCCACCAACGGAAGACATGCACATGTCTAGGTGGTTTCTAGCGACTGCATCGTCGGCTCCGATGTCCTGCTCCTGCCACTGCTGCAATAGCGTAACACATAGTTGAATGGTTGTACGCTCGAAAGCTAGGAAGGGATGAGCGTTGGCGGGCTCCCTGCCATCCTCGCCGGCACAACCACTCAAGCGGACGCGTTGCTTCTGAAGCATCCTAGATTTAGAAGTGGAATTTTTGTTTTTGGTATGGGCGATTCAACATAAAGAAGGTCGGTTTTGATGGATAAAGTGTTGATTTGAGTGGGTGTGAGCTCGACTCGGTTGTGGTGGCAGCGGCTAGGCCTTACGGCGGTGATATCCGATGGTGAGCCGATGATGCACCTGCAACATCTCTTGGCGTCTACACAAGTGTCGCGAACACAATAATTAATGGACATAGTAAGCGGGTGAAATGTAGCCCTGAAGAGGGAAAAATATTTATATGTTGCTTAGGACCTGCCCATAGTGTTATTAGGGCATGTTTGGTTCCAAATAAGTCACCTACTTATAAGTTAAAAAGTGAAAAAAATGACTTATTTTGCCAAATACCACCAACTTATAAGTCACCCCTGCTTATAAGTTTTAAGTTGGTTCACCCCTGCTTAAAACTTATAAGTCACCCTTTTTTGCGTGGGGCCCACACCTTTAATGAGCTTATAAGTCATCTACAACCAAACAGACATGACTTATAAGTCATTTGTTTTCAGTCACATGACTTAATAAATCACCTGACTTATGGAAACCAAATAAGTCCTTATGAAAACTAAACAGGGCCTTAGTATCTTTAGAAGAAATCTTTTCTATAAAAATCAATTTTGTAGACATTCATAGCCCGCTAACAACAGCTTTTACACACACTGTGCTGGTGCTCTCAACGGCGGCTCGGCGCTAGCTACCACGCCATGACGCCAGGGCTACACAAACTGACACCAAATCAAATCAACGCGGACACCCACGAGCGCCAGAGTCCAGAGTCCAGACCAAGGAATTCCGACAAGCGACAACCAATCCAGGGCCACGGCCCAGACCCATGATTCTCTGCTTGCCCGCATCATTGCTGCAGCACCGCCGCCAACGCGGAAAACCGATGCGCAAAGGAAACCCTCAGAGCTGGTCGCCTCCCCTCGTTTCAAATTCGCCGAATCCCTGCGAACGGTCGCCGAAATTTCAAAATCCCACCTCCCAATGAGCGGGATCCTCCCCCGTTTCAAATTTCAAACCCACCCACTCCCACTCCTCACGAGCTCTCCCAGTATCTATACAACTATCCCATCCCCGTCTGTGCTGGGGCCTGCCCTTCGTCGAGCGCTGCGGATGGAATGGGACGGCGAGGTCGGCATGAACTCCGTCCCGGACGGCGTCGTGCAGCACATCCTGTCGATGCTCAGCAACGCCCGCGACGTGGCCGCCTGCGCCTGCGTCTGCCGCCGCTGGCGCGATTGCGTCCCCTACCTACCCGCGCTCTTCTTCCCGCGGAACGCCTTCGACGCGGCCGCCGCGGCAAGGGGCGCCGCGGACGACGTCATCGGCCGGATGGTGGCCTCCGTCGCGCGCCTCAGGGAGCTGGTCATCTACTGCCCCTTCTCCATGGCGCGCCTCCCGGCCTGGCTCGCCGCGCGGAGCGCCACGCTCCGGGTGCTCGAGCTGCGGATGGACGCCGCCGCCGACAAGGTCGCGGAGGGTGGGCACCTCGACTGCATCGGCCTGGCTTCGAACCTGGAGGAGCTCAGGCTCTGGGGAGTGTCTCTCACGGCCGCGCCCGCGTGGGGCCGGATGGAGCGGCTCCGCGTGCTGGAGGTTGTCGGTGCGTCGCTGCGGGATAGCGCCGTGAGGGACGCCATCGCCGCGTGCCCCAACCTCACCGATCTGTCTCTGCTTGGCTGCGACTGCTCCGGCACGGTGGCTATCGACCTTCAACTGCTCCAGCGGTGCCGGCTCGACATCCTCGGCGCCGGCAACTGCTCGCTGTTGCTCACCGCGCCTCGCCTGGAGTCGCTCGAGATCCAGGGCTTCACCTGGATCACTCTGTGTGGTGGCCACAGCCTCCGCCGCCTCTCAATTGCCAAGAGCACCGGTGAGCCACACGCATCTCGAATCTTGGTCACTTTTTAGTCAATTTAGTATTGCCTTGACGTGATGAGAAATTTTGCGATGGGATGATGCAGGGAGGGTTCACAAGGTGGACACTGGGAATCTCCCAGATCTGGATCACCTCTCGCTGCGCGGTGTCCAGTGGGACTGGGCCGCAGTGAGCTCGGTGCTGCAGTGCGCTAGCGAGGTGAAGCATCTAGTGATGAAGATAGAGTTCTGTGGAGACTTGGACGCACTCCAGCCGTTCCCGGAAGTCGATTTGGTTGACTTCTTCGACAGCCACCCCAAGCTCCGCAAAGTTGAGATCCATGGTGCCATGTTCGCTGCCCTGTGTCAGAAAAATAGCCTGAAAAATGTGAGTGGGCTGTTCGTTCCTATAGCTGCATTGAAATAGGGTTCCTAATTTGATTGGTATGCTAGACAGATCAATGTGCCATATAGCTAATTCGTTTGAATTGTGTATGCAGTTGAATTCAAGGTTCCTCATCCCTTGTTTGGAAGAGGTTCTGATCACTGTACGCTCCCCGCTCAATGCTGAACAGAAGCTGAACACTCTCGAGTCGCTTGTGAAGTACAGTGTGAAGCTGCGGACGATGGTCATCAGAATCTCACAGATGAAGAATTGCCATGAAGCTGCTGACGAGTTCTTTGAGGAGATATGTAAGTTCAAGTACATGAACTACAGGAAAGTGCGAATTGAATAAGTGGAGGTGCTGTTTTGATTCTTAAAGTTAATCAGCCTGTTCGGTTGGCTGGTTCTTATCGTTGCTGGTTCGTTTATGTGAGAGAGAAGTACTGCTGGCTGGTTCATATAAACAGTGTCCATATGAGGGGGCTGGCCAGCCCAGCCAGCCAGCCAGCCCCAGCCGAACACGCTGAATTTGATTGAGGACTCGATTTTTTATATCATTCCAGAATAATTTTACTGTCATTATTGATGGAGGATCCATTTTCAACCTTTTGAGTGGTTTGTTAAGTTTCTTTTTTTTCATCTAGTCTATATATTGAGTACTCGAGGGAGTTGTTGGAACAATTTCATTGAGTATTGTGCCTGCAAATTGTTGTTGTAACCGTCTTTGTTGCCATAATAAACATTTTATCTATGAACAATTTCAACAATGAACATCAATGTCGCTTACCGTCCACTGTCTTTTTTTTTAAGGATGTTTCTTATTATTATTATTATGAATTATGACATGTTGATTTACTTATTTAGATCTATACATTGGGCAACTGAGACACTTTATTCTGTGGCTGTTTATTTTGCACAGCATTTTGAGTGCTTGTGTGGTCAATGCGGATTGGGTTCTCATATATATTTTTGAAAGAGACACACGCATTATAACTCCATGAATGAATTTAGAGCCCATATCTAACCAAAATTGCCCATCTTTGCCTTCTCTTATTTATGCATTTCTTAATAAAATATTCACATAGATACTCTATAAATTTTATCTGTTTGCAACATGCTTTGGTTACCTATTAGAGAATCTCCAAGAGGCACTCTACATGGGCACAAAATTTAGAAACCAAACCAAAAAAAAAAAAACATGCTCCAATAGACTCTCCATATTTTGTGCTCTCCAAAACCACCTTTTTCGCTTTCCACTTTTGGAGAGGCTACACGGGTCTCTAAATGCAATATATGGTAGTATTCACATGAATGTTTTCACGCAAGGAAAGTTATGATAAGTTGTTGGAGTATAGTGAACAAAAATCTGAGAGATTTACAAAGAGAATATTTATTGAATGGCTCTCCAAATAGAGATATAGAGATTAAAATTTGTAGGGCTCTTGAAGTTGCTCTTATATCCTATATGCCTTTCTATCCTCACTCATAATTTTTCTTATTTGCATGATTGCATCACACATTTATGTATGTTAGACATGTGTTTAGTTAATACCTTAGCTTGAGCTATGTTAGCTCTTATCGCACCCCTTCTAGTGTGACCAATTTTGATCTTACCTACTGGAATTTGAAATGAATGTTTTCTCCTTCTCACGTATAGTTGATGCTCTAATGCTTTTTGTACCTTCTGTTCCAGACTTTCTATCCCAAACAGGGCCTTAGATGTAGATCTAGGGGGTGTTGGTGGGTGGGGGTGGGAGGGGGATCTAAGTTATTTTTCGTAATGATGACAAAGATGAGCAATTTATATACACATTTTGGGGCTACTTTTTTGTTGCAAGTTAGCATGGGAGCATAATATATTGACCTTAGCGTTGCTCATTGAACGATCTGACGTTTCGTCACCGTAGTGCAGCGCGATTTCTAATTTTGTTGCACAAGTATATTTGCGAGTTGCAGTGTCACATGTGGAAAGCTTGTAGCAAAAGGGTTGACTTGGGGCAGGTTTTACATCATCCTGCACCTGAATATTTTTGTTCTTGCAATAGGTTTTCTATTGCATCGCTTGCTTTGTCTGTGATGGGGTCTGTTGCCTTGCAAGTTGCAACATGAACATATTTTTTTCAACCATTCGGATACCAGCTAGTAGTATTTTCATATTGAAACGAGCTGCAAGCAGTAGAAGCAAGAAAGCGATAGAACTTATAAAAGAAATGGAAGATTCGAGAGAGTGAATTGATCAATTGATTCAGTTCGTAAGCTGATGGTGTAGCTTGCCTCACTTGAGACAAATTGGTCGAACAGATAAGAAAATTGTTTTACGGGTTCTCTCTTGAATCCAAAGAAACTGGAGAAAAGAAAGCCCGCAACAGCCAGCCTAGCCGGCCCTAAGAATTAAGAAAGCTGTGTTTTCCTTTCGATAAAAAGGAAGCTCTGTGTTGCGCTTGGGCAGAAGGTGATTATCTGAAATAGCTTGGGCCGGTTAAGGCCTTGTTCGGTTATGCTGGAATGAGCCTAGTAGGGCCGTCTCTATGGATTTTATGGCCCTTGGGCAATACGAAAGCAAGGGCCCTTTAGGCTATTTTTTCCCCCACTTCTATGATCATGAGAAGTCATACACTAGTACTAGTATGAGGTAGATAGGGGCATGCATATATAGTTCATAAAACACAATGTTTATACAATAGAAGAAACTAAAAGAAAAATAAAATGACTATTATGATTACCTCAAATAAGTAAATAATTCTTCAAGGCTTGTTGGAAAAAATATCTTCTGGCATTTCTAGATGCAAAATCATTGAGAGCAATGTAGAGATCAATGTTATCTTAGGTTGGTCCTGGTGCTGGCGCTGGCGCGGGCGCTGACCCTTCAGTGGCTCCTGCTTTGTAATAGCGAACAACGCGGCTGTTGATTGTCTGAGCCGGCCGTGCATTTGGCTCCACCGATGACTAAATGAGAAATAAACAAGGAGAAATGACAAGGGTTTAGGATCACTCTGATGCGGTGTGAAGATAAAATTCACAATTTAGAGGAATGTGGTTTTGTTCAGTGTTCTCTTAACCTACGTACCTTCTTCACTCGATCTATCGAGTCGATCTCATCCTTTGATGCATCTGCTACCTGGTACACATTTAGGCACAAGAATATTAAATTGAGTCATTCTCTTATTCAATAAGTTCATCTTATATTTAACAAGTGACATATTTAGCCGACAAAAAAGGCTCCTTACTAGTTTTTAGTAAAAAAGGAAAGAAAAAAAAAATCAACCACCACCACTAAAAAGTCTGAAATACCCCACACCTAATTTTAAATTATCCGCCACTGCTATCATAATTACCCCAGAATACGCTTTGTACTTATTTATAAATTATCTAATACCCTTTTCATATAGGGGAATTTTACATGTGTTATTAAAAAGATCATGCAATGCCTCATGTGTCTGAAAAAGTTCAATAGTCTTGACCATTACTCCAACTTTTTTCACAGTCATCCATGCCATTACATCAGTTTGGGCTTTGTGCCACAAATCTGCAGGTATGAAAAAACGAAAATACCCTTAAGTCTAAATATGCTATTAATTTTTTGAGCATCTTAACGACTTCAAATAAAAAAAAAATCAAAACTAGAAAGTTGTAGATCTAAATCAAGATCTATAATTTTTATATAAAATATTTTTATTTAATTCCGCAAAAAATGATTTTTCTAAGATATATTAATCATATCAAATCATTTTTTTATGAATTAAATGAAAATAATTTTATATGAAAATTATAGATGTCGACGAGATCTACAACTTTCTAGTTTTAAGTTTTTTTTCATTTGAAGTCGCTAAGATGCTCAAAAAATAACATATTTAGACTTAAGAGTATTTTCGTTTTTTTCACGCTCATAGCTTGACAAATAAGTAAAGCTCAAACCACGGAAGTGGCATGGAAGACACGAAAAAGTTGGAGTAGTGGCGCTGAAGACCGCTGAACTTTTCCAGGGGCACACAGGGCATTGCAATCTTTTTTAATGGCACACAGGGAATTGTCTCTTTCATATATCCTTATACATGCCTCTCTATTATTAAAAAAACCAAAAATGGGGAAAAGGTTACATAATTTAGTTGAACATAGGTTTGTTGATGTATGTGAAAAGATTATAGCTGTAATTGGCATGATCATTCCATGTAAACTATATTAGGAAAATATAAACATATATAACTAGGTGCAATACACACACAGAGAGGCAAAGTTTCGCACATAGCTTGATGCATATGTAGCTCAGGATAGGTGAAAGTGGAAGGCACGATCGTTCAGTTGTGGAACGTGGCATCCCAATCTAAACAAAATTTATTTTATTGAAATAGCAAAAAGAACAAAAAAGTGCATGTATAGGTATATAATAAAAAGAACAAGTTGACGATGGTAAGCTCAAACAAATGAAAACATAAATATTCATAGTAGGCCTCGATTATTTAAATTATGAGAAGAACATTGTCGTGTGGAGTCTTCAGAAAAATGGACTGTTTTCAGTTAAGTCTATGTTTAGACATTTTTTCAGCAACGATATTAAGATCAATGTTTGCCAACAGCCGTTTAGTACATTTAAAAAGCGTTCAAACGGTAAGCAAAGGCCAGATCCTAAACGATGAACTAAACGATCGTGTTGTTTAAAATTGTTTAAACTTTTTAGAACCTGAATAGTCTATATAAACTCCACTTACAAAATGATTAAATGAGCTAAACAACCATTTAATTAACCACTTTGTCAATGCGAGGATTACAACTACCACATTGTCACCTAGATAATTAACATTGTACGTATATGAAGTGGAGATGGCTCTAGTTTCCTTCCAAAAAAATATCTGATAAAATATTTATCTTTTACGTGCATAAATATGTATACTTTCTCCCATATTTGACTTTTACATACATAAGTATGTATATTTTAGTGTTATTGTTTAAAATCATCTAGGCCATTTAACCTTGTTTAAACACCGTCTAAACTCTAAACGGCATAAACACTGAACAAAGGATGACCACCTATTTATTGTTCAGCATTTAGGATAACATTGATTTAGATTACACAAGATATTTGGCATTTGAAGCTATCATTAAAAATTAGAACCCTTTATGGTATTTAAAAAAGAGTGTAATCCTAACTAAAGATAATTTAGCTAGGAGGAATTAGAATTGTTGTAAGATTGTTGTTTCTACAGTAGAACTAAAACTATCCAACACTTTTTCTTTGGCCTTCATTATATCAAGTTTTTAGGGTATGGCATATATTTAGTGCTTGAGTTCCCACCAACACTTAATAAACATTTTTTTTAGTAGTTGATCAATGACGGGTCGCAAACTCAATTTTTCATGCCACAACCTTTTTCATGCAAACCATTCAATTTGTTGCGGGTACTACACACTAGGGCCCTGCTCGCTTATCTTATAATTCGTCTTTTTTAGTCGAAACAATGTTTTTCTCTCACAACAAATCAGCTGAAACAATGTTTCGGCTTGTTTTTTCAGCGAAGCGAACGGGGCCTAGCTCCAATTGTGGTTCCAGTTGCAGCACACACGGATGACAACAAAATATAGTTGATCAAAGTGTGTCGGTTGCTAGGATCAAGAGCCATGATTTTTTTTCTTTCCGTCATATGGATGGCTCCTTATGAGTAGAGGAAACTTTTACATGTATCTATAATAATTGCGGATAAATGCATTTCTATAGAAAGGTCTGAAACCGGAGCTTACTTCCATTATCTAATAATATAGTTCTTCCTTCGTCCCAAATTACAAGTCGTTCCAACTTTCTTGGAGAGTCAAAGCATCTTAAATTTGAGAAAAATTGTAGAGAATTATAAAGATGTACGACATCAAATAGGTATACCATGAAAATATAATTAATAAAAAAAATCTAATGATACTTATTTGGTATCATAAATGTTATTATTTTACTTCCTCCGTCCATAAATGACAGGCGTATTTGACCATAGGAAGAGTCATACAAAATAGATTTTGACCCGCAATTTCACTTATAGTATGCAGTCAATTGCTAAAGAATCAGTGTCATGCATCTTAGAGCCACTTTGAACACAAATCTATCGATGTAAGTTTTATGTTCTAAATTTGCATATTATTTGACTAATTGTTGGTCAAACTTTGTAAAATTTGACTTTCCTCTAGTCCAATATGCCTGTCATTTCTAGACGGATGGGTATTATATAAATTTGGTCAAACTTAAGTCATTTTGATTCTACAAGAAAAGTTAGAATGACTTATAATTTGGGACATATGTGGTAGCATTTGGATTCTTGATACTAGCGGGCTACCATGCTAATTCATTTTACATTTAGCAAGAGAGAGAACACATCGTAAGCTTGTGTGCATACCTTGCTCATGATACTCCAAAGCACTCCTTCGGTGCAAGGTGGCGTAGTAAACGAGCCCTCGTATCTGTAGTAGCCAGAGGCGTTGTCTATCCATGCTGTCGGATCAACAGTGCCCTTCACTTCCTCTGTGGCATTTTGTTTACCAGCGAGCCTCTCGAAGTACGGCTTAAGCTGCGTATTAGTAGCAGCGAAATCGTCATAAGCTAGGGCCTAATTTTCTTTTTGCCCTCACTTTCTTTGCGTGATGATGATTTGGTAAATACATATGGAGATAGTATATCATATGAAGCACGTACTACGTACATCGCCGAGCAGCTTGCTGGGCTTGCCTGCTTTGGTGCTGAACAGCACCGCGACGACGGCTTTCGACTTGGTGGAGTCCTCGTGCACCATGTGCATCTCTGCGTCAAAGCTTCACCCAACCGGCCGGCCCATCATTCCAACACGCAGCAACAGCACACAGGTAAGAAGACTGAATGCGTGTTACTACTCTGTATATGAAGACTGAATGTGACCTTGCACTTGGATGCTCACCGGGTGCCGTTGACAGTGTGCTCAGAGGGAGCATGCCAGTGCACCTGCAGGAGCGTGTACTTCTTCCCTTCGATTGTCAGGTCGCCGTTCCCTCCTGTCCAGTTGAGCTAGACCAAGCAAGAATTGGACAAATTTACACAACAAGCAGGATTAAACATTCACGCGTTATTTTATTGATGATAATAAAAAGACGGGGTGGGCTTTATCTGACCGACCATGAAATCGTGGCCTCGGTTCTGCACGACGGCGGCGCCAGCCTTGTAGTTCTGCTCCAGTGGGCCTAAATCCTTGGAGACCTCCACCTTTGCGACGTCGATCGGAGACTGCTTGGTGCCACTGTCACAAATAGCCCAGTCCTTCTGCAATGTGGCCCATTTTTCAGGCCCGGTCGGGTCACCTTCCTTGTAGCTGAAGGTTGAATGAGGCGTGCCTGCACAACCGAAACACATCGAGAGCATCGTCATCTTACTCAGCTACTAGTAATGGAGATAAAACGGGAGAGATTGATTTGTGGATAATTTAATGGAGATATTTTTGGTACAAAAGTAATTTCGAAAGTAGCTAGGTTTCCCATGCGAAATCCTCGAAGAACTTTAAGAAGTTATGGGACTTACTGCCCACTGCCGATGCGTATCGCGCGCAGAACGCAAAGACCACAAGAACGATGGCCAACGCGACGTTGTTCCTTCGCCGCGGCATCGCTGCTGCTGCTGCAGATTGTAGCCTGTGGCGTCGTGGACACAAATAGCGGGCATCGGTGCAAAGCCATAGGCTGTGCAATTACGGGAGGGCCGCCTTCAAAATAGGAGAGGGATGATGGCCTTGGCCTCACATCGCCGATGGAGTATTTTGGGCTACTATACTATCTTCGTTACTGTGCCATGACACGTGAACGAACGAATTCCAAGAGAGTTTGGGCCTTTATTTTTCATGCAAAAAGAATCCTTGGGTTAGCTGACAACAAACACAACTTTACGTGACGGAAGGAACGAACTCCGTTCGTTATGTGAACGAGAGGCGACGGCTCGCCCGAATCCAGAGATCCAGACGTGCAGCTTCGAAGTAGTCAGACACAGTCAAGCACGGCGGCTTTGTGATTAGCGAGATTCTAGAGCGTTTATTCCGTGTCAATCAGAGAGAGGAAGATCTAGAAAGAATCTATACAGATTGAACATGTAAGAACGCGCACCCCCCGTCTGGCAGCGGTGCAGTGAGTCCGTGACCCAGTTCCTGCCTTCCAGGAAAGAGCCGATGCCGCACCAACTCCACAGACCACACGCATCGTTCACCGCCCGCTCGCCGGCCGCCATGCTTTCCAAGCCGTCGTGCGGGTCAAACCCCAAGGCGCCCGTCACGCCCCCGCGCGAGCGCGCTAGGCTGCTCGTATAAAACGACACACACCCGCGTGCAGGCGGCAGCCGCTCCAACTCCAACAGACCGGGGAAGTCGCACAGTGAGAATAGCCCAGGCCCCCGGTGAACACGCCTGGCCTGCCTTGGTGTGTCCGCGAGTACGTACGTGCCGCCCGGGACGATGGCGCCGCGCCAGCCGCTGCTCCCCAGCTTCCTCTACGCGGCGTCGCCCGGCGCGAGCGGCTGCAGGGAGGCGCCACCGGTGGTGGCGGCGGCGCCGAGCGAGCCGTTCGGCAAGATCGAGATGTTCTCGCCCGCCTACTACGCGGCGGGGGCCATCGGCGGGGCCGCGGCCTGCGGGTTCACGCACGCCGCCGTGACGCCGCTCGACGTCATCAAGTGCAACATCCAGGTGCGTACCATGGGTTCGCCGCCACGAATTTTATGCTTGCTCCACGTTTCCACCTACTGTAAAAGTGTAAATAACTGACGTTTTGGTTGCGCCGAAAATTGTGTTTCGAAGACCACGAAAACGTCTAAAATTGTGTTTCCGTTTGATCAAATCACCGTGAGACTTGTCGTTGGGCCCCGACGTCATCAATGATGCGAAATTGCGAACACGCAGATGCTAGTTGAAACTAGGCAGATAAGCTTCTAGGCCAGCTGCACTAGGCACATGGTTCGAACATGACCAATATGCAGGCATACAGCGGTCTAATTTTGGTTCCCTCGACTGGGATCAATCATCAGTGTTCTAACGAGAATGTTACTCTGATTTCTGACGTGGCCTAATGCAACATGTCATCGCTCGCAGATCGACCCTGCCAAGTACAAGAGCACCTCGTCGGCGTTCGGCGTGGTGATGAGGGAGCAGGGCCTCCGGGGCTTCTTCAGGGGCTGGGCGCCGACGTTCGTGGGCTACAGCGCGCAGGGCGCGTTCAAGTACGGCCTCTACGAGGTCTTCAAGAAGAAGTACGCCGACATGGCCGGCCCCGAGTACGCCGCCAAGTACAAGACCCTCATCTACCTGGCGGGCTCCGCCACCGCCGAGGTCTTCGCCGACGTCGCGCTCTGCCCCATGGAGGCCGTCAAGGTCAGGGTGCAGACGCAGCCCGGGTTCGCCAGGGGGCTCAGCGATGGCTTCCCCAAGATCGTCAGGGCCGAGGGCTACGCAGGGTACGTACTACGTAGGGGGATCAGCTCAACTATCTGTTTTATGCATTTTGAAAAGAAAAAACTGGAGTCCTAAGCTGAACGATGATGTTTCTGAACTGCAGGCTATTCAGAGGACTGGTTCCTCTTTGGGGGCGACAGATTCCTTGTAAGCATGCCTTTCTTCTCCTTTTTCTTCAGATACCATTCACACTGTATTTTGCACATGACTACATGAGCTTTCCAAGCTGAACTTCCCCGACCTCTGTGCTGTGCAGACACCATGATGAAGTTCGCGACATACGAGAACATCGTGGAGATGACCTACAAGCACCTCATCCCCACTCCAAAGGATCAGTGTAGCAAACCTCTCCAGCTCGGAGTAAGCTTCGGGAGCGGCTACGTCGCCGGAGTCTTCTGCGCTGCCGTTTCGCACCCTGCAGACAACTTGGTTTCGTTCCTCAACAACTCCAAGGGAGCCACCGTCGGAGATGTAAGTCCACATTGCACTTTGCAGAACACAGATGAACTGCTCTTTTGCCTATATGCAATCAGTAGTCATTGTACGTTTTTTATTTATTTATGCATCAGGCTGTCAAGAACCTTGGCCTGTTGGGCCTCTTCACCCGTGGCCTTCCCCTTCGCATTCTGATGGTCGGTACCCTGACTGGCGCTCAGTGGGTGATCTATGATTCCTTCAAAGTTATGATTGGACTGTAAGTATATATGTGATCCTGTGTGTGACCGTGATTATAGACTAATCTGTCTTTTTAAGACGGCTAAAACAACTGGTAATTTTTGCAGGCCAACGACTGGTGGAGCGCCTGCTCCTACTGTCCCAATCGAAGGACTGGGAGAGCTAAAAGCCTCTGCCTGAAGTTCTAAAGTTTGACAGAGGATATACTTCTTCCGACCATAGCGTATATTGGTGAATGGTGACTGTAACAGGGACCTCACCCCCACCCCCACCACAAAAGGATTGTTTCAAGCTGGTGATTTTTTTAATATAAAATAAGTTATTACTGTATGTTATGAGTACAGAACACGACAGGCAGAAGACTAGAAGTCATTACTAGACATAAAGTTGGATGCAATTTATTTGGGTTCGTACTGAATTGGCTCTCCTACGGTCATTTGATGGCACTAAATTGTGTGCTCTAATGTAAATGTATTCATATTGCATACACACCATGTATTCAATGGTTTGTCTCTGTGGAATGATCTGCTGATTAAACAAACTAAGTAACAAACCAAACAGACATGCATGCCAGCAGCTAATTATAGTTAGTTCCATTCACATTTAGTTTGATCAAGTTGTGTAGTAGACCCAAGATACTTTATGATATTTAAATTAATTGTAATGTGAATCAAGTAATCTTAGTTCAAAATCCATGCCCACTTCCTCAAAGCGAACACTTCTTGGTGCACAGGATGCCTTCTCTTGGTGTTCATCAGGCTGCTCTTCTATGGATTCAGAATTTCAGATGACAAATATTTGTTCCTTTGTTCAGTTTTGATCACTCAAGGTCAACATGTGATTACAAACTTACCAAAAAAAACATGTGATTACAAAGGCCTCCCATTTCAAATATATCGCGTTTGGGACAAGCTTGGTAGTTGATGCCTTCCGTGAAGGTTTGAAGCACTGCTCCTAGAAATGCAAGGTCAGTGTGTAAGTGTAATGCAGGAAATCTACGCTAATTATTTGACGGAATTGTTGCTTGCTTTATTTATCTTTTATGCTTCTGTGTAATTCAGGAGCAACAGAGTTACTGAGCACAACAGTGGGTGCCAAAGAATATTACACTAACGGTTTCCAATAGGCACTTTGAATATACTCCAGATCAAGATAAGCTTCCTCATAACATGTTTCTGGTACAATAAGGATCTATCTACAGAAGAACAACTAACTTGAGAATAACCTTCAGCCATGTGCTAGACAAAAAAGTGACTACTAGTCTACTACACTCAAACAGTAAGGACCCAGAATAGCTCCAAACCAGTTCCTCATAGATGACCAAATCCTGAACTTGGACTATGAGCCGTTAAAGACCAGTAGTTCTGTTACAGAAACCAAAAGGAGTCTTTAGCATGGACAGTTCCCAATGAGCATGAGTAGAAATCCTACCATCTGCCTGAATAATATTGAGAATATTAAAACACTTTAAGATGTTATAGCTGAGCTATGGGGCACACTGCCACTATGAGTAGTGGCATAAGCATCTGCAAGCCCAGTAACAGAGTCGTTGTGAGGGTCGACAAACTTCAATCTGAAAGTCTCCTCTCCAGTTTTAGCCAATGTGTAAAAGCTCACATTTCTGTTGAGCAATCCCTTTGCCAGCAGGGCCTTCATGACACAATGTCGGGGCACTAGTCGCTTCTCTAGGCTGTATGTGAAGAGGACAGGCCTTTGCAAAATGTAATGTGGATCCAGTCCAACTTCGTTGATGAAGAATTGGATCTTGCGGAGAAGACTTTCGTCAGATATTGCTATAATGTTTGGCTTCTTGGACACAGCAGTGGCAACTTCACTCTTGGAGCAGCCAAGAGTACTCTCCAATAAGTCAAGTCTGGCAGCACAGTTCTCTTTGGTTGTACAGGCTACAGCAGCCAACGCTTCTTTGAACATTCCCGAGCTGCGGGGCACCCCAAGCTCTTCCGCGCGCAACACGAGCTCTTTCACACGCTCCGGGTTGAACGTAAGCAGCCAGGTGACCCTCGAACACAGCTGGGCAATATCTCGAACACTTAGGCCACACTGGAGAAGCAGGGCGATGTTCGGCTTGATCACCCTATCAACGTTCATGGCAAGAAGTGATTGGGTCTTCTTGATGACCACTAGGAACTGATCGAACGAGCCGTACAAGGAGACGAAGAACTGGATCTTGGGCGCGACGTCGCCGCAGTTGCGGAGCTCCCAGGAGCCGATTACGAGGAAGCGGGCGATTTGGGGAACGGACAGGCCGACGCGGTCGCGGAGGGCGAGGATGCGCGGCTCGAGTTTGTCCACCCGGGACCGGAGGAGCAGCGGGTCGGCGGCGACGACGTCGGCGATGTCGGCGCGGGAGAGGCCGATGTTGGAGAGCAGGGCGAGGACGGCGTCGGGGTCGAAGCCGGGGTGGAGGCGGGTGGAGGAGAGATCGTTGAACGCCCTCTCGGACAACTTGGATGCCTTGGCGAGCGCCTTTTTGGATGCGTTCCTGGCCTGGGCTGGGGTGAGGCCGCAGGAGGCCACGAGGTAGGCCTCGAGGGAGAAAGGGGCGGGGAGGTGGAGGAGGAGGCGGCAGTTGCCATGGTGGATAAGGGAGGGGAGCTGGGTGGCGGCGCGGACGAGAGAGGGGAGGCGACGGATCATGGCGGTGGCGGGGCTGAGGGTCGCCGGCGTCCTCGTCGGTTCGAACCACGAGCGGTCTTCTGTGCGATAAAATTCATCATTGGGCTGCTACAGAAGATGAAGCGGATGTACCAGGCCCAACGAGCGGGTACGGGCACGGCCCATGATCCAAACACAGCACGGGGTCCTATTAAGCATGATCCAAACATGACATGGCGTGCTTTTAGACCATTATTATTACTAGAAACACAGGCGGCAAAGTTGGAGGGGCCTGAGCTCATGAATGATGAATCCTTTAGGGCCTCTTTAGAATGTAGGATTGCTAAAAAAACACATGAAAAATGTTAGAATCAAATACTCTAACATCTTAAATCCTATGGATTGAAGAAAAAAAAAAGTTTAGACGAAAGCACATTGATTCCATCAGCATGAAGTCCATATATGTGTTGTCGATCAATTCCTTGGCTCAAAGATGTTGTATATCTCTCCTATTCTATGGTTTTCTTACTTACCTCATGGCTGAGCAATTTCTATTGATGCCAAATCAAGTGAGCCTTCCATTTGATTTCATTGAGCTCCACTCTTCAATAAAACCACTATCCAAGTCTGTCATAAATTGTTTAGTTCCTTGGTACTCTTCTAAATATCAAAAGATATATATGTATTAGAAAAATTAAAGCCTCCAATATAGATAGAATTGGTATGGAAAAGAATAGTAGTGTAGAATTCAATCAACGTTACAATTGGATTTTGCCACGGTAATAGAAAACAAGGCACAGGGAACATCTATGGGAGCGATTACGCGCATGCAAAAGATATGCAAATGGGACACCAATGTTACATATCATTGAAAAATCATGGAAGCACTTCGAACCCCCTTCCTCGTACGTGTTCCTGTCCAAAAATGTTTTGCATCACATTGATGTCGCCAAGGGTAAACAACCTAATAGAACATGATTATTACAACGGTAGCAACTCAAATCTAACATCTTTCATGCCAGTGACCTAGGGAGGAACATCTTACGATAGCCATATTATGACTAAATAAATCACAAAAAGCATATTGGGTTTGATTTCTTACATACAATTGGTCTATTTATTCCCCGGTTCGCATGCGTGAGAAGCTCATGAATAGTGTAATAACACACATCGTTTGGTTTTCTTCTTTGCAAGGAATTACAGAAACAAGTGTGGTCAGAAGTCTAAGATCAACATATCACCTGTGGTTGTTCCACAGTTTCATTGAAAAGGCTTGATGTGCCAATAGATGCTAGCATGATGATAGGATTGGCTAGTGGCTCTAGCAGATATGAGGAACAATTTGTTGAACTCGGTTATTTTTAAGGGCAAAAAAGGCAAATATAAATCTATGATAGAGTATACAAGATGATCCAAAATTTATATTTAGAAGAGTTCCAATGAACTGAAAATTTATAAAACACTTGGGTGGTGGTTTTATTGAGGAATAAAGCTCACCAAAAGAAAATAGAGAGCTACTTTGATATGATATCAATAGAAATTACATAGTCACGCGGAATAGGAGCAGAAAGAGAAGAGAGGCACAATAGCTTTAACCAAGGAATTGATTTTGTGCTGATGATGGATGGACTGGGCCGAGTAGAGAATCATCATATAATCAAACAAAGAAACAAATTGTTTGGTTTCAATTTAGAAAAACCAAACAATATATTAAAACAAAAGAAAAAACTAGCTACCCACATCATCGACGTGTTCCAATTGGTAGTTATGTATCACTACATCGACCGACCTTCTTTGTCCCGCCAAACAAGAGTATACTAAGCAAATGCATCATATGCAGGCCATACAAATACAATAATCAGAAATCGGCACGGCAAGCCACCAAGAGCATACCTAATCTTAGTTTAAACCCACTGCAAGTAGTTTATTGTTGTTTACGGCCATCCTCTATGCTGTTGTACCTATTGATTATCATGCTCTCCCTTCCAAAAAAATCAGCTGCTATACATGTTGTCAGGTATCAGTATTAGGGATACTCGACGAAGGGATCAGAGGACCGCGGACGACAAACTCGCCTAGAAAATCGAGGACGTATTTCAGTCTCGACCGACCCCGAAGGGATGGTTTTTGCCTCGCTAGATCCCTCGGGCATGGGCCCCGTGTCGCCTGACCCCAAGGGTACGGGAGCCGTCTTTCCCAACCCTGAGGGCACGGGCTCCGTCTCGCCCGACCCCTCGGGCACGGGCCCTATGTCGCCCGACCCCGAGGGTACGGGACCCGTCTCGCCCGACCCTGAGGGCACGGGCTCCGTCCCGCCTGACCCCAAGGGCGCTGGCTCTGTCTTGCCCGACAGGGACCCATACCGCCTCCAACCACTATGGGTCTAAGGGTACGACCCCGGGGTCAAACTTCTAACACCGGGAGAGAAGCGGGCATGTCTCAACGTGACCCATGGCCATGTCAGGCCACACCCGGGGGTTCGCATCGCCAACAGTGACGGGTGCATGGTCGCTGTGCTGCCTAATCCCCGTACGGCTGCTGACAGGCATGTCGTCTCACCATGCCGTCCATCGGGACGGGATGGGACACCACAACCAGCTGATGACGCCGAGGCATGGCATCGGGGGTGAACAGAGCACGACGCTGCCATCCATCCGCCACCATCTACAACATCGATGGGACTCGCATGAAGGAGAAGAAAGACGCGCATGCGACCCTAGAGGCCTTCTTCTATCTTGCTTTTCCCTTTCTCTCTCTTTCTCTCTCTATCCTACGGCTTCCCTTCACCTATAAAAGGGGAAGCAGATGCCCCATGAGAGGGACGAGCATACGGCTAAACAAGCTCAACAAGACTCAACTCCGCTTAATCCTTTCACCGAGACTTGGAACCTTCTCCTCTCTCGCCTTTGTAACCCCTACGACAAACTAGTGCTTTGTAACACGAGCAACAAAGAGACCGGATGTAGGGACATTCCACCAACCCATAGAAATTCTTGTGTCCTCCGAGCACACCATCCGCCCCGCACATCGTAGATACAAATTTACTAGCCGGTGGCTTAAAACACCGACAGCTTGGTGCTCCAAGTAGGGGCTTTTTGCGCTGCCTCGACGCCCACATCGTGCCCTCGGATGGCTAGTCACAGCGTCGGCTAGGTCCCCGGCGCACACGCAGCGCTTCGAGAACTTGAACTTCATCATCACGATGGAGGGAGAGTTGGCGAGGCTCCCCGCCGCCCGCCCGGCCTCTCTACTCCACCGGCCTCGATGCGATCATCGAGGCGCTTGAGGAGCTGTAGCTACACGCGCCGGAGGCCCGTGCCCCTAGGAGCAACCAGCTCCTCGGCTTCGATTACGGGAGGCTAAAGCACCAGCTCGATGCCTTCCTGGGACCTTGACCGTCTCGGGGGGACCTACGCTGCCTCGCCTTCTCGTTCGCCAATGTCACGACATAGCTTGCCGGGCGAGAACCGCTCTGCCTAGAATACCTCATCTGGAGCGCCCCAATAGCATTATCGTTCGGTTTGCGCAACGCCGCAGAGACCGTTGGCCACCTCGTGGCGCAGCGCATGCACCCATCCCCTACGAACGACAAGTTCGTGGGAATGACCGAATACGTCGTGGAATCTTTCCATGACCTTTTCGCGGGAGATTCAGAGTTGCCCTCTGACTCCAGCAGGGGGAGCCATCACCCCTCGCGAGAATGTTTTATGGCAGGTACCCCCGAGGGACGCGTCGAAAGCGTCCATGAGGGAGGGGCTACCCTACCAAACCACCTCAACTACGACGTCGAGGGAGATACGAGGTCCCCGCCTCGGTTGCGGGTGGAGCAGCTGAGGGCGCGGTACAGGGAACTCAAGGATTTGTGACTCTAGCTGGAGCAGGAGCACACGAAGCTTGAGCAAGGGATCGAGCACCGTGGAGACGGTGGACGTGCGCGCGCCATGGCCCGTGATGTGAACCGGAGGATCATCGAAGATGATGGAGCCCTTCCACACTTCGACCGGACAAGCCAGAACATCGCTATCGCGGCGGCCTTGCTCTGAGGGCTCCCGGAGCCTGCGACACCCAGAGATCGTCGGGCCCATCGTGAGATCCGCACACTGCTCGAGCGCGCGGCGCTGCAGCCGGCAGAAAGCTCACTGTCTCGGCGACATGAGCTCAACGCCAGTCAGCACGCACCCTCAGGATGACATGTTAGGGACGTGTCTGTCCACCAGGCGCCGTGGCCCCGGTGCTTGAGCGTGTCGGCCTCCACCATGACCCACATAACACCCTAGATGCCCATAGGCATGGATGAAATGACGAGAGCGAGGAAGCCAGCCGTGGCTATCACCCTCATCGCGACGGACGCTACGACAGCGGCGAGGACTAGAGCCTAAGTCCTGACCTACCGGGACCTCAGGCCTTCGGCCGACACATCCTCAACGCCGTCTTCCCACCGCGGTATCGACCACCGACCAACATCCCAAAATACTCCAGGGAAACTAACCCCGGACTATGGCTAGAGGATTACCGGCTTGCTTGCCAAGCCGGTGGAGCAGATAGTGACAGTTTTATTATCCGCAACCTCCCATTGTTCCTGGCCAATTCGGCGTGAACATGGTTGGAGCACCTTCTGCCCAACCAGATTTAAAGTTGGGCGGACCTAAAGGAGATTTTTGTGGGAAACTACCAGGGCACCTACACGCGTCCTGGAAACCCATGGGATCTCAAAAACTGCCAACAGAAGTCTGGGGAAACTCTTCGTGAGTACATCTGGTGCTTCTCTCGGCAATGCAACGAGCAGCCCGACGTCGCCAACACCGACGTTATAGGAGCCTTCCTGTCTAGGACCACCTACGAGTCCCTGGTTCACCAGCTAGGATGTAAGGGCCCACGAACCACGAAGGAGCTCCTCGACATCACCACCAGCCGCGCCTCGTGCCAGGAGGCGATCGGGGCGATTTTTGACCACCCCAAGGGCAAGGCGAAGCGGGACAAGGACGCTGGTGAAGGCACCTCTAACCGACCCAACAAGAAGAAGAATAAGCAGCAGCGTGAGG